ACTTCCAGGCCTGCACTTAGGGTCCCAGGACAAGACAGGGGGCTTGCCTGTTAAGCCTCCATGCTCCGAGAGCAGGTGTGGCCCTGCCTGGCTGGGCTTCTGCCCCTGCCCAGTCCCTGCCCTGCTGTGTGGCCCCTCCAGTCTCTCCCCATCCAGGGCTAGCCGAGGTGCCCAGTGGGCCCCTGAGATGGGCCCTTGCCACCCAGGAGCCTCGGCCCAGAAGACCCACGGTCAGGCTGGTGTCTGGGCCAAGGCTGGCGTGCTGGGGCAGGTGGCAGGCAGAGTCCCAAAAGCCAGGGAGCCGACCAGGGGGGCTGGGAGGCCTCTGACTCTGGGCCTTTGGGAGGATGGGGGTGCTGTGCTCTTTGCAAATGGGCCACCACTTGATGAAATCCATTCAACAAATATTTATTGAACACCTACCCTAGGTGCTAGGGACTGAGTAGTGAACAAAACGGACCCAAAGTAAAGACAGCAGGCTTTGCTGGCCAGAGTTAGGGAGGCAGAACCTCGAATCACGGGGTCCATTTTGGGAAGAGCAGATGATGGTCCTGAGTGTGTGCTGAACACCCAGGACTCTCTCAGACCCTCCCTCCTTCACCAGCCCTGCCAGACGTGACTGTCCTCAGGGTGGACCTTGGTGGGACAGGTTCACCCCGTGGGAGCAGCGCCCTCAGACAGCACGTTCTTGCTGGGGTTGTGGCCACGCGTGTGGTGCTAAGTAGACGAGGGAGGCACAGAAACCCCCAGCTCCCACAGGGTCCCAGTCAGGCTGGCCTCATCCACAGTGCTCCATCCCCAGGCCTGTCCATCCCCAGACTCAGATATCACCCTCCCAGGGCCACGGCTATGTGCCCACACCCGGGGGGTGGGGGCCAACACGGGACGGCTCTCAAAGGAGCATGTCTGACTGTGAGCAAAGATCGATTCCTGCCAGAGGCTGGTGCTCCCTGCAGCAGAGATCCATCCCTGACCCACTGTGTCCTCACTCAGGGCCTGGCGAGGCCGAGCATCCCACACCAGAATGTTCTGGGACTCAGGTGCCAGCCTGTGCTATGGCCACAAAAACAGCAAAATGTTTGGCTGATGTAAGGAACCAAGGTTGTGCGATATTTTCAGCTGTAATAGTAGCTGAGGTCTCTTGTTGGGAGAACCCGAGGCCTCTGTCACCCACCTGGCCTTGCTGGGGCCTTGTGAGCTGGGTCGGCGGCTGTTCCTTCTGCCTGCAGCTCCTGCCAGGCCTGGGAGGCCACTGTCCTGCCCCAGGCTCAAAGGCCCAGCAGCGCTTTGCACCCCCAGCTCTACTGGCTCTGCTGACTCTCAGGGCAGGGCCCTGCCTCTGAACCCCACCCTCACCCCAGCCTGCCTCTTCTCTGACCACCCCCAGTCCCCTGGGGCTGGGCCACCTCTGGGCCACCTTCCTCCCACTTTTCTACCCCAGCCCTGCTCTGAGTCCCTCTCTGAGCAGCTTCCATCCCAGACTTCCCCATCCTCACGAAGCTGCCCCTTATCCCCAGGCTGGACACTGCACTGTGCCTCAGCCCCCACAGCTGGAGAGGCCGCACTCCTGCTCAGCTCTCCCAGCCCCCCCCACCTCACACCTACTCGGCTCTCCCAGCCCCTCCACCTCACACCCGCCCGGCTCTCCCAGCCCCCCCACCTCACACCTGCCCGGCTCTCCCAGCCCCCCCACCTCACACCTGCCCGGCTCTCCCAGCCCCCCCACCTCACACCTGCCCGGCTCTCCCAGCCCCCCCACCTCACACCTGCCCGGCTCTCCCAGCCCCCCCACCTCACACCTAGATTTAACTCCACACATTCCCTCACAGCTGGGCCTGGGGAGCAGCCCTGCACGTCATCACTGGGTTTTAGAGGACGGGATGTTCTCATAAATGATGGCCTTAAAGGAGAAGATCTGAGGTCCTGGGGCCCTTGTCAGTTAGGCAAGTGGGCCCCACTGGGACAGGGTCCCCAGAAAGAAAGTGTCCCGGTGGCTGGATTCCTGGTGCCATCAGAAGCTCCATCACCACAGCTGATGCCCTCAGGGCACCTCTTGTGCTCTGGGCATGGAGCCAAGTACTCCCTGGGTTTTTCATTATTTTATTTAAATTGCACAAAACCAGGATATAGACAGAGAGATAGCTGGGCTCTGGGAACGGGGCTGAGGATGAACTGATGGGAGGTGTGTCCCTGATGAGGCCTGGGCAGCTGTGGTCAGGACTAGAAGAAGGAAGTGCATCCCAACAGCTGTGCGGACTGGGCTGGGCTCCAACAGCCACCCCTGGGGGAAGGTGCGAATCACGCTGTGGATGGGATGTGAGCCCCCAGCCAGTCCCTCCTCCACAGGACCCAAGCAGACCCAGAGTTCCTGGATGGTGGTGGTGGGGGCCTCTCACGGGCAGCACCGTCTTCCCACTGACAGGGTGTATATGTGTTTAAGCATCGAAACAATAAATAAAGGGGATGTCCCAAATCTACAGATTCTATAGGAAAAGATCATATAAGACTTTGAAATAGGCAAGAGAAGATTTCTGATTGTCCTTGTACTGGAATGCCAGAGCCCCTGGGGACGACCTGACCCCAGGAGGGTGTGCCTTCGTCTCTGATTAGGCTGTTCTACGACTCCACGGAAAGAACAGTTAAACTCTGAGAAGGGTGTGGGCAAAGTGCTCATTTCCTGGGCACAGACGGACACGATTCCTGCGCATCGGAATGCAAATGGTTTTTGTCAGGCAGGGAACGTGAATCTCTGTGGGTCAAGTCCTCATTTGCATTGGTTGAAAGTAATGAGTTAATAAAATCTTTGACATGTGTTCACTGTTTGTATGAGAGTCATGATTATACCTTCTGTTAAAATTTATCCTTGAACAGTTTGGTTAAAATCCCAAAATTCCAACAGTTTTTTTATTTAGAGCAAAGATGATTCTGAAATTTATATGGAATTCTAGAGGGCCAAGAAGATGAGGCAGGTTACTCTTTAAGGCGAACAAAGTGGGAGAACGTGCTACTCCAGAAATGAAGCCTTTTTATAAAGCTAGAATAACTACTACAAAGTAGGGTGGAGGAGGGACTGACGATGAGACACAGCAGAAAGTCCACTCTTGTGAGAACAGGTGCGAGCTGGCAGAGGCGCTGTGGGAAGCCGAGAGACGGTCTTTTAAGCAAGGGCTGCTACAGACATAAGTATGGAAGATGGAACTATAACATGTTCAAAAGATGAGGCTTCCAAACTTTGGGATCAAAAGATTTCCTAAACAAGACAAAGTGAGTGCCAATCCTAAAGGGGAAGATAAACAAATTAGACTGTTTTACTTTAAAATGTAAGACCTTAGATCATAACACGATGCTGCTGAGCACGGGGAAAAGATAATACACAGAACAGGTAACACACCTGCACTTTGGGGTAGGTTTTAGGATCAGCCTGCCCCTGCCTGCAGAGAAGCCTGTGTGGAGGGGGAGATCTGGCGAGGATGGAGAGTGAAGACACAGGTTGGAGCATGCTTTCAAAAATTTGAAATAAAATCCAGAAGAATCAGCCAGAGGAGTTACGAGTAGCTGCTCTAGTACGGTGAGAGGGGATGGCAGGGAACTGCTGGTTTCTGTTACGAGCCTTTACTTAAGGAAAAAGCCGTCTTCCTCTACTGAGAGCATCGAATCCAACCACGACAAATGAAAGGGTCGTGTGGCACTGGGCAGAGGCAGCCGCCTGTCCCTCCCACCTTCCCAAGACAGTGGCAATGCTTCCTTCCTTCCCTGCACAGAAAAGCAAGCTCCGCGTCATGCGAGGAAAGCACCCAGTTCTTACGAGTGCTGGCTTGGGCCAGGTCCTTGGGTTGCTAAGGTGACATCGATATATGGCTCGGGAGGGCGAAGAGTTGTAGGGGAGGTTGGAACAGGGACCACTTTGGAAAGGAAGGGGATCACCCAGGTTAGGCATGTTTGGGGGCACCCATGTGTATGCCATGGCAAGGTCATATTTACTCCACAGTGGCTGGTTCTCCCCTCCTGGCTGTAGGTGTGGAGAGTGGCTGCCCCTCTCTGGGAGTTCCACACGCTGGCCCAGCCTGGAGGCCATCCCTGGAGACCAGAGGCCCCAGGAAGCAGGCAGAGGAAAGCTGCCCCAGGTGCATGGTCACACCACATGGAAAGATCACTGCAACCCATCAAGGTGCCCGGGGCTCAGGGTCCTGAAGAGGCACAGGGCTGGGGCACGCACCTCTAATCACAGGACAGTCTCCTCTCCAAAGGACAAGGGGCATCGGGGCATCGGGGCATCGGGTGCAATCAGTCCCTTGCAATCCCTGGACATTCTCGTCAGCTGAACCCTAGGCCTTTGAGAACATCGACTCTACTGGTGCCTACTATGGGTGCCCGAGTCTCTGGAGCTATTAGGATGCTCCAGGTATAGGTGCCAACATTAGACCTCATTGACCCACAAATCCGGCAGCTCATCTGGTCCAGCCCAAGTGCAATGGTTTCGCAGAGATGGGGACCTCAGGGCAGCTGGAGGCCATCGCACCCCCCGGGGCCTCCTGGTCTCTCTCGATCCAGTGAGTTCAACTGGAGAATCACTGGATAATTCCCTCTGAGTCCCCCCATGAAGACATGTGGGACTCCTGCCGCAAAACACTGAGCCCTGCCTGGCATCAGGTATAACCCGGGACACTAAAAAGAGGTGTCCGTGAACCCTGCTGTGGGAATGGGCAGCGCCGATTTCTAGGTTTCTTGCTCTGGCCCAAGTTAAGAAAGGAAGTAGAGCTGGTGTTTGTGCAGAAGGGGAGGTGAGAGTCTGGCCTGCCCTGTAGGGGCCTGACTGTGGGTCTGAACCTTTTCTAGTGGTGTCATGACTCTAGGGTCCTCAAAACCAACAGGGGTGGCATGAGGAGCCTGTGCTGAGAATGTCATGGGGGGTGAAGCCAGAGCCGCCCAGGTGCTACCTGCGTGCTCCCGGAGCCCACACCTGTGCTCTCGCCCATGCCCGCCCCTGCCCGCCCACGTACCAGCCTGCGGATCTCCCGCTCACACTCCTTCTTGATGCGGGTGATCTCCTCCTGGTGTAGGTGGTACACACTGCGGATCTCCGCGGCCTTGATCTTGTCCGCCTGAATCACCAGCGTCAGCGCCTCCTCCACCTGCCTCTTGGCGCCCTTGAGCTCGGTGATCTCCTGCTGCATCTTGACCTTCTCCACCTCGAACCCCTTCTTGGCCTCCTCCTTGGCCTCGGACAGCAGCACGGTCTTGACCTTGTCAGGGCCACCATCACGCAGGGCACTGAGCAGTGCCTGCAGCCGCTGGTTCTCGTTGTCCTTGATCTTGATGACCCTGAGCAGCTCGGCCTCATGCTGCCGCAGCAGCGTCTCACGCACGGCCTGTAGCTCCTTCATCTTCTCCTCGTGCAGCTTTGTCTTGAGCTCTGTGAGCAAGACTGCAGTCTTGTGCTGCTCATGCTCGCGCACCTGCCGCAGCTCCTGGTTTTTCTCGCGTTCCACTTTGCTGACCTGAAAGACAACAGCGAGACCGACTGTGGCAGGAGCTCCGGCCGTGTACACACTCACGCCTGAATGTGTATTTGGGAGGAGCTTCCATGATGCACACTCACACACCCGAATGTGCATTTGGGGAGGATTTTTTTGAAACTTGGGGGTTATCTTCCATTCTGGAATTACCCCTTAACAAACATGGCTACGAAAACCTGGAATCAAACCTGATTGGTGGAGGGCAGGAATGTGCACTCATAGCATCCACAGGAGAACCCTCAGAGGGGACACTCCAGCCTGGAACATGAGACCGCGGACACACTCAGTCCACGGAAGTCTGTGCACCTAATCCAGGATCAGGTTATACAGGGGAGGCAAGACCATGGTCACCTCCCAGGTGAATCCACCAGGGAAAGGGTGGGACTCTTCCCCTTGGACACGGCCCAGCGAGGAGCGGGCAGGGGCTGCCCTGAGTTGGGATGGGGCTGTACCTGCAGTGTCCCCAGGCAGCTCCCGCTCCGTTCCCTGCATTCTCACCCACATGGCAGGAGCTGCGCTTGTGTCCCATGATGTTCTCGGCAAACCTGGAAACAAATCTGAGCCACTGCGCCATCTGGGTGGTGTCTAAGGGGAACCCTGGGATTTTTGACTCTGGGCCATGTGTTTTCATCCAGGTGCTCAAACCCTTGTCCACGCTGTCAACCATCCACAAACTGGCAGTGGGTGCTCAAAGTCCATTTATGGGATGAAAAAGTGGCTGAAATCCAGATTTGCCCTGGATCTCCAGCGGCACCCTGGCCCCCTTCCCTGCCATTTCGGGACTCTGGTGCCCCTACCCAGCTGAACGGTTAGGCCCGTGGTGGACTCCTGCCCACTTCATAGCGTTTGAGCCCCTGGGAGATTGCTCTTGTGGCTCAGGGCTCCTGCTCACCTGGCTGCCCACGCTCCCCACAGCCCCCATCATCTGGCCTCACGACTCTGGGGTGCACCCACAGCCCCCATCTTCTGGCCTCATGACTCTAGGGTGCACCCACAGCCCCCACCTTCTGACCTTATGACTCTGGGGTGCACCCACAGCCCCCACCTTCTGGCCTTACGACTCTGGAGTGCACCCACAGCCCCCATCATCTGCCCTCACAACTCTGGGGTACACCCACAGCCCCCATCTTCTGGCCTGATGACTCTGGGGTGCACCCACAGCCCTGCCCTCTTCCCTCTGTTCCTTCCTGGGCCTCCAAGACCATCGCATGCTGCTGGACCCCAAGCTCTCATCACTGGCCCAGCCCCCTCTCTGGAACTCTGGGGGCCAGGCCTTGGTGACTGTGAGGGTCCTGTGGCCTGCATGCGGGGGGCTAGCCTGCGAGGCTGCCTCTCCGGGACCCCCACTCTCTGACCCCTCTTGGGTCCGGCCAGTGGGTAGCCCCAACAGGACACAGGGAACATGACCACAGAGGCACCATTAGCAGGCCCAGGAGGTCCGTCTGCGGCCCCCACTTCTGTTGGGAGGTGGCCCTGCTCCCCAGGCCGCATCTCTCATAACAGACGCCCCCCTTGTCCCTACAGACGCAGGATGGAGTCAGCTGTGTCCCCACTGGCCCCGGCTCTTCCACCTCCCCCATCTACTCAGAGAAACAGCCCCTGGGTAACCTCTTGGCCATGCCCTGGGCATCATCTGCTTCCTGCCAGGACCTGAGGAATATACAGCCACGCAAGGGACATCTCACGTCTCATCTGTCCAAGCAGAATTCCGCCGCAGCCCTGGTCCCAGGAAATGGCCCCTCAGCCGGAGCCTCTGCTCTTGGCTCCCATCCTTCCTGACGTCCCACTCCCAGCCATCGGCAAACCTGTCAGCTCCCGCTGTGGGTACCCCCAAGCCTGCTACCTGCTCTCCTGCCCAGGGCCACGTCCTCTTCCAACCCACCTCCCCCCGCTGTGCCACAATCCCACAGAAAAGGGATCCCTTGGAACATAAAGCTCAACGCTTCAGCCCCCTTGGGACCCTCAGGCGCACTTAGAATATAAGCAAGGTCCTTGCAGGAGCCACAGGATCTCATACCCCATGGAAAGGGCACCACAGAGAATGAAACGCAGGTTCCAGCCCCCACACCCATGCCCACACCCTCTCCCACGCCCTCACCCACATCCATACCCTCATCCACATCCACACCCTCACCCACGCTCTAACCCATGCCCACACCCTTACCCACGCCCATGCCCTCACCCACGCCCTGAACTTGGCATTTTGTTTTCTTGGCAACTCTGAACTTGGCATTTTGTTTTCTTCACCCATAGCTGTAGGAATTCTGATCCCACAAAACCTGGACCCCCGACTCCTCCCCAGCCGGAAGCCCTCCTGCAGCACGTGGCGTGGCCTCTGAAGGTTCCTGGTGTCATCTCCTCCTGGCCCAGCACCGTCCGTCCCCACACTGGGGCTTCTGTCCCTGCCCTCCCAGGCACGCCGATTTTGTTACTTTTTTTCACTTTCTGCACAGCGGTGATCACTCCGTAAAAGTGCTTATTTCTCTCTTTGTGACTGTCTTGTCTCCCTCCCTTCCGGAGGCTTTCTGGGGTTACTGGGGGAGGGGTTGCTGGGGGACAGGTGGCTGCTATTTCCCCATCAGGACATGTGGCACTGACTCACTCTGCTGCTACCTGGCTGGCAGTCCTCGTGTCCTGCAGGGCTCAACCCTGAGCCTTCCTTTTGGTCCACCCAGACCCCACAGTACAGAGAAATCCCAGCCACCACGCTCTCTCCAAACCTTGCTCGAGGCCCAGAGATTCCACAACTGCACACGGGGCCCAGCGAGCGTCGTTGGTCCAGCCGTGTGAGTTCTGCTGACTCCCAAGAGGCCGGAGTGAGCAGACACAGTCCTTACTTTGGCTTCCACTTAAGGTGGGACCTCCTGCTTTTCTAGCTCACACTGAGTTCAATGGTAAAAAAGTGAGATTTTCCAGGGCGTTTCTATACCACTTGTGGGTGGGGACTAGTGAGTCCTCTCGTCCCGTGCCAAATCCCCTTCACTCGGGCTCCGGAACGCGCGTGGTGTGTAGGGGAAGGAGGCTGGGGAGGCTGTTCTGCTCACCGTGCTTGTGGGGCTGCGGCTTGGGGACAGCAGGTCCTGTGCGAGGCATGGCAGAGCCAGAACGTGCGAGGCATGGCAGAGCCAGAACTGATGCCCACACTGTGCCCAGAGCCCAGCTTGCCCCTCCTCCAACCAGGCAATAATTTCACCTTCATGAAAACTTGAATGGGAATCAGGAGAGAAAAGAAATTATAAGGCCGGGCGCGGTGGCTCAAGCCTGTAATCCCAGCACTTTGGGAGGCCGAGACGGGCGGATCACGAGGTCAGGAGATCGAGACCATCCTGGCTAACACAGTGAAACCCCGTCTCTACTAAAAATACAAAAAACTAGCCGGGCGAGGTGGCGGGCGCCTGTAGTCCCAGCTACTCGGGAGGCTGAGGCAGGAGAATGGCGTGAACCCGGGAGGCGGAGCTTGCAGTGAGCTGAGATCCGGCCACTGCACTCCAGCCTGGGAGACAGAGCGAGACTCCGTCTCAAAAAAAAAAAAAAAAAAAAAAAAGAAAAGAAATTACGCAGCATGTGCCACAGAGATGGGGTCAATGGTGCCGAGTCTGGTCTCAAACTCCTGGGCTCAGGAGATCCGCCTGCCTCCACCTCCCAAAGTGCTGGGATTACAGGCGTGAGCCACCCCACCAGCCCCTTATATCATTTTACTGATGTCCTTTAGTTCCTTTTGAAACAGCCCATCATAGCTTCCATCTGTTTTGGAGCATTTGTCCGGTATGGTTTCATTGTCTGTAGGAACGTTTTTCTACTTCTTATTTCTTTTTGTTATAGTAACTTGATGAGATTTATTTTCCTGTCGTTCACTTCTGTTATTTCAGTCTTCCTGAATTTCCCTGAAATATCTAACTGGGTTCTGTGTCATGTAATCACTTGTAATTCCACACAGTGAGTTCTGGTGTCTATTCTCACACCTCTCCTGGGATCCACAGGTGGGCCAGATGTCGGTGAGTTGTGGCCATCTCCCCACTGACCCCCAGGTGAGCTGCAGTCATCTCCCCAGCATCCCCCAGGAGCCACGGCACTGCTATTTACTGCCATCTGAGTTAACAACCACAGGCAACCAGAGACTGGTAAATCTGCCCAGGGGGTTGGGGACAGGCCTAAAGCAGGAGACGCCTTGTGGGGTGAAAGGGACCTCTGGGCAGAGGCACAGGGTGGGGGCAATTGGGTACTGGGCTGTTCTTCATCTCTCACTCCACAGGGGATTGTAACATAGGGCCAGGGTAGAGAGTCACTGTTTAAATAGAGCGCCTAGAGTCTGAACCATTAACATCTGAGGCTCCACCCTTAGAAGTCTAAGGGGTTAGGGAGAGCTGGCATGGAGCTACGAGGTCCCAGGGGACGCAGGGGAGACCCATGAAGCCTGCTGATTGCTCAAGCCTCACCCATCCTTTTCCCCTCACCCTACTCATGTGCAGACCATACACATGCACGCACAGGCACACAGCACACACACGCACACACCACACACATGCAAGCACCACAGACCACACACATGCACGCACCACACACCACACACCACCCACATGCACACACCACCCACATGCACAAACCACACATCACACACCTCACACCACACACATGCACACACACCACATACATGCACACACCAGACACCACACACATGCACACACCACACACATGCACACACCACACACATGCACACACAGGCACAGAGGCACACACCACACACATGCCCCCACATACACACATGTGCACACACACCACACACATGCCTACACACATGTGCACACACACGCACACACCTGTGCACACATATGCACACAAAACACACATGCCCCCTCCACATGCATGCACAGACACACACACGCACACATACATGCACAGGCAGAGATGCATGCACACACACCTAATGGGGCTTGGAAACCTTGCAGTTTAGGCCATCGGGGGCTATGACATGTGTGAATGAG